GAGGATACTAGGATGAGTATAAGGATCAGGTTCAGGATCACATTGAGGTTTTGAATGTCTTTGAACATCTTGCAACATACAAGAAATGAGCGAAATATGTTCCTCAAGCGAAACTGACCACACCACTTTTACGGCGACTTGATCTGTCTTGAAGCATTAACAATGCAACAACATCAAATCGAGTTCATATCAAGGGGAAGGACCAACCCCCTTTTTACACCAAATTACTGGCAAACAGAAGAAAATACTATGGATTACGCGTAATGCCTCTACCTTCAGATCTCGAACTCGCATGCAATACACCACAGGGTTTAAGGAGGAGTTTGCCATAACGATCAATGTTGATACATCTAGTATAAAAAGCGATGTGCTTCCAAAACCTTCGATTGTAACTCCATCCATCATCTTCATTCCATCATCTTCATTTTTTCAAACTTCACTTTGGTTTCTTCGAGGGACTTCAGGTTTTCCTCTAGCTTTGGCAACAAATCCTCGGCTGATTTTCAGTTCGGATTTGTGCTGCTCCAACTGAAAATGGCATCAGCAATCCCAATCACGGCACCCAAACCACCAAGGGCTTTTATAAATGCGGTGACTGCCAGTGTTGTTCCAGCCATTGCTGCACCCTCTGCGCCGGCCATAACTGTTAATCTACCGCCCTGAAACACTGTGTTACTCAGCGCCAATGCTTGTGGTAATGAGGCCCGCAGTTTCATGGCATCTTTTATGGCATTTAAGTGTGAAAGAATTTTGACAATATCGACGAAACATCGCACGACTTGAACACCAGCTTGAGCAGCCATTTTGGGAACACCAACCAAAAGGAAAAGGATTGCATCGTCTTTGGAGATATCCAATCTCTAAGCAAAAAAACAACATTTTCTCAATGTTTTAGCATATGCTAAAACAGCTATCCACCTCAATTTCGGTAGCTAGTGGTGGATATTTGCCTCGCCGCTTCGCGGCTTGGTAGATATCCACCATTGGTATATACCACACAAGTGAGTTTTGCTTTATGCGCCCACTGATTGCCTAACCCTATTCACCTCCAAGCAGCTGATGAGACAAAATCGCGCGTTAAGAGTTTCATTTCCGACCATATTTCGGTTTATTGATAGAAATAAACTAGATTTTTTTTTCAGATAAACACTAGCGCAATGATTTGACGGCTGCATTGGCGTCGGTGTACACGGAAATTCTAAGATAGCCAATAGCTCAATGTCTCGACGGCTACATTTGCGTCGGTAAATTGAGAAATACTAGGATAGCCAGTAACGCAAAGACTTAACGGCTACATTTGCGTCGGTGTATAAGGAAATATTAAGATAGCCAGTAATGCAATAACTAAATGGCTACATTTACGTCGGTATATAGATAAATTCTAAGATGTCCTATAATTCAATGACTTTCCCTCTACATTTGCGTTGGTTATAGTGAAATTCTAAGATACCCTGTGACGCAAAGACTTTACGGCTACATTTACGCTGGTATAAAAGGAAATTCTAATATAGCCAGTAACACAACGACATACCGTAATTTTCGGTTGTTTACCCGCGGTTAATCTGTTGATTTTGCATTAAACGCGCGCCACTGCGGGTAATAGGGAGGTGTGGGTTATGTGACAATTTTAAAATCTAGTGGTAGTTGAGTTAAAAGTTATCACCAACATGCGTTTCCACCTCTCAAATGAATTTTATTGTATTAAGAGTGCCGCAAAGCGGCACGAAAACATGATGCCGACTCGAGTTTATTTCACGCATAATTAGTTGCGCGACGAACAAATTGCTATCGGCATGCGTGAAAACAAAACCTTGATGGTGACAAAAATAATCCAAAGATATCCGGCGCATCAGTAACAAATTTCTATTTAACACTAGCTTGAGCTAAAGAGAATTTTCCCGTTTTAAGGGACTTGTTAGGCCCAATAGAACCGGAGATATCGATTTTTTCAGAAATCGTCGACAGTAATTTATAATTCAAGTTTTAATACTCAAGCTTTTTTCAACAAATCAACATGGCGTTGAACGATCGCTCGCACAAAATGTGGCCACAAATTCGCATTCTGTCAAGTATGAAACGTTGAGATTTGGGCATGGGCCGCTAGTATTTTTACTGTAATAATAATAATAATAATAATAATAATAATAAAGGTCTCTATTAAGAATTCATTGCGCAAACAGACGTGCAACAATTTACATGAAGAAATAATAATTAATTGCAATTAAAAAGACATCTATTGATAAACACTGATTTAAAACGACTTGTCTGGACCTTAGGTAGAATATAATTATGCGACCTACTTCTCAACTGCCGTGTCCTCTGGGGAGGTAAAAGATCCCTCAAGGCGGTGTTCGTGGAAGAGATCCTTCGCCATAATTTCATATCTCCATCATGACGAATATCCAAGATACTATGCTGCTTTAAGCAGTAACCTAACTTATAACACCTGGCAAAGAGCTTATCAATACTACTTAAATATTTACTATAAAAAGCACACCCCCAGACCTCAATAGCATATGTAAAAACAGAAAGGATCAAACTTTGAAAAAGTAAGTCCAAATTCTCCTTAGAGTATCCATAATATTTACATATTCTTAAAATGTACATCCTACTGTTAGCCTTACTCAGTTTGAATAATCTTTTTATAATCTTATAATTTAGAATTTTGAACCTTTGTATAATCCTGTATAATCTTATCAATAAAGTACATGCTAATATTGACACAGAATTGTGCACGCGTCTGAATTTCTTTGACCTTTAAACTCGACAAAGACGCTTTCAAGTTTTCGAAAGTTGGATCAAACAACTTTTAAAATACTGAAATGTATCACCTTAATGTCACGTTTTCGCCACCAAAAAGTTGAACAACATAACGTGCGGGTTATCCACCGGTGCGGGTAATCTGTTGACTTTTTTTTCGCCGTAACAGCTAAATTTGCATCAGTATATAGGGAATCTCTCAGATAGCCAGTACCGCAATGACTTAACGGCTACATTGGTGTCGCTGTATACGGAAATTCTAAGCCAGTAGCGCAATGACTTGACGGCTACATATGTCGGTGTGTAGGAAAATACTAAGATAGCCAGTAACTTAACGGCTACATTTGCGTCCGTGTATGCGGAAATTCTGAGATAGCCAGGAGGACAATAACTAAACAGCTACATTTGAGTCGGTATATAGGGAAAACCTAAGACAGCCAATAACGAAAAGACTTAACGGCTACTTTTGTGTCGGTGTGTAGGGAAATTCTAAGATAGCTAGTAACGCAATGACAAAATTGCTACATTTGCGTCGGTATATAGGGAAATTCTAAGATAGGCTTTAACGCAATGACTTTCCGGCTACATTTGCGTCGGTATATAGGAAAATTCTAAGATAGGTTGTAACGCAAAAACTTAACGGCTTCATTTGCGTCCGTGTATACGGAAATTCTAAGATAGTCAGTAGCGCAATTTCTTGACGGCTACATTAGCATCGGTGTATACGGAAATTCTAAGATAGCCAGGAGCACAATGACTCGACGGCTACATTTGCGTCGGTATATAGGGAAATACTAAGATAGCCAGTAACGCAAAAAAATAACGGTTACATTTGCGTCGGTGCAAACAAAAATTCTAAAATAGCCAGTTGCACAATGACTCGACAGCTACATTGATGTCGGTATATAAGGAAATTCTGAGATAGGCAGTAACGTAAAAACTTAACCGCTTCATTTCCGTCGGTGTATACGGAAATTCTAAGATAGCCAGTAGCGCAAGGACTTGACGGTTACATTGGCGTCGGTGGATACGGAAATTCTAGGATAGCCAGTTGCACAATGACTCGACGTCTAAATTTGTGTCGGTATATAAAGAAAATCTAAAATAGCCAGTAACGCAAAGACTTAAAGGCTACCCTTGCGTCGGTATACAGGGAAATTCTAAGATTGCCAGTAACACAATGACTTAACGGCTACCTGCGTCGATGTATACGGAAATTCTAAGTTAGCCGGCGAAGCAATAACTTAAAGGCTACATTTGCGTCGGTATAGAGGGAAATTCTAAGACAGCTAGTAACGCAAAGACTCAATGGCTATCTTTCCCTATACACGCAAAGCTCTCTCAGAGATTTCCTATATACCGACGCAAATGTAGCCGTTAAGGAGGGGGGCATTGGGATTTTCGGTTTGATTTTTTTCTACGATTTTGCGGTTTCTAATAGGCCCCAATGCCCCCCTCGTTAAGTTATTGTCCTACTGGCAATCTTAGAATTTCCCTACATACCGACGCAAATGTGGCTGTTAAGTCATTGCGTTACTAGCTATCTTACAATTTCCCAGTATACCGACGCAAACGTAGCCGTTTAGCCATTGCGCAATAGTTACTGGCTTTCTTAGAACTGGACAGCGGGTGTAAATTCCTGATATTGTTAAAATGCATTGTATTTCTAACACCCCACCCAGAGGGCTGTGATATGTGTTTTGTTTCGTGTTGTTTTTATTCCTTGTTCGATATTTAATTGCTCGAAAGATCTCCCTTAAAATAACCTCTTATTTGTTCTATTAATGGCTTCCGGTTTGTAAAGTGAATTTGAAGTACGCACTTTTGTTAACTTTTCTTTTCTTGTTCCTTTCGACCGGCGGAAATAAATTCCATGAATTGTTAAAGTGCAAGGTATCTCTCACGCGAACAACGTGAAGCAGGTGAATGACGCAAGGTTTCAAGTTTTCATTCCTTTGTCATGGTTATATAAACCGCATTGATCAGTCTTGCCACCACAACAAACTCGCCACCACAAAACTTGCCACCACTGAGAGTCAAATCATCACCGTTTCTGTCAGCTTCGCTGTATTTGTGTGCGCTATTTGTCGCGGTATGTAATCTAGATAACAGTATACATAAAGTAATTGACGTATTCTCCCTACCATGATACATTTTCTTTAATTTTTTTTTTCGTTGATGTGAGCTTCTTTTTTCTGTTTTAGATAGGATTGGTTAAAAGTTTTAAGTGGCTGCGAAAGATGTCCGAAAAATTCGACGCCGAATTGTTGTCCAAATTTCTGGATCAGTTGCAAAAAATGATAGATTTACGAGAGGAAATGATTAAGTGGCTACAAGACTTTATTGAGGAAGTCAAAACGCAAGAAAGAGGAGTAAATGGAGCAAAGACAGGTGGAGCGGTGCTGGGCGCGGTATCTTTTTTTGGCCTCTTCACTCCAGCTGCACCCCTTGCTCTTGCCGGCTTGGTCGTAGCCGGAGCCACTGGTGTGGCTACTACGATTGGCGACTTTATTGCCAACAAGGTAAAAGGAGGAAATCTTGAAGCTAAAGTCGAAGAAATGAAAGCCCAAGATTCTGAGTTAGAAAAGTTACAAAAGGAGCTCAATGCACAAGCTGAAATACTTGCACAGGTAATTAAGATAATGCTACCGTGAAGTTAAGTTTAAAGATAAAACCGAGGTTAGCAAATAATTTAACACTTTGGGTCTCCTGGCCTTATGACGATCGCATCTCATACAGGATATGATTTAGCAAAACGAAGACAAAATGTTTAAAAGCCAAAAAGATGGTTATTAAAGGAAGTAGACAAATTATTCTCAATGGTGAGACTAAAGAGTTGATGGTTAACGCATATTCACCAAAGTGGAGGTGACTAGCTGGCTAGTTTACAGTTAATTACCGAAGTGAAGGTGAATAGTGGGAGATATTTACCGAGCCGCTAAGTGGCGAGGTAATTATCCACCATTTTCACAAAGACTGAGGGGAATAATTGTTTTAGTATTTTCCACACAGAAACCGAAAAAATCTAGTTTATTTCTATCAATATACCGAAATATGGTCGGAAATGAAACTCTTAACGCGTGATTTTGTCTCATCAGCTGCTTGGAGGTGAATAGGGTTACGCAATCAGTGGGCGCATAAAGCAAAACTCACTTGTGTGGTATATACCAATGGTGGATATCTACCAAGCCGCGAAGCGGCGAGGCAAATATCCACCACTAGCTACCGAAATTGAGGTGGATAGCTGTTTTAGCATATGCTAAAACATTGAGAAAATGTTGATTTTTTTGCTTAGAGATTGGATATCTCCAAAGACGATGCAATCCTTTTCCTTTTGGTTGGTGTTCCCAAAATGGCTGCTCAAGCTGGTGTTCAAGTCGTGCGAGGTTTCGTCGATATTGTCAAAATTCTTCCACACTTAAATGCCATAAGAGATGCCATGAGACTGGGGGCCTCATTACCACAAGCATTGGCGCTGAGTAACACAGTGTTTCAGGGCGGTAGATTATCAGTTATGGCCGGCGCAGAGGGTGCAGCAATGGCTGGAACAACACTGGCAGTCACTGCACTTACAAAAGCCCTTGGTGGTTTGGGTGCCGTGATTGGGATTGCTGATGCAATTATCAGTTGGAGCAGCACAAATCCGAACCGAAAATCAGCCGAGGATTTGTTGCCAAAGTTGGAGGAAAACCTGAAGTCCCTCGAAGGAACCAAAGTGAAGTTTGAAAAAATGAAGATGATGGAGACTTGAACAATCGAATGCTGTGTTTCAACCAAACAATTTCGAAAAGTCACGATAAGTTTAAGCTCTTGATTAGCTGTGTGACTGCTTTGTTTTTGTTTCTTAGCTTTTTATGCGATGATCAAACAGCTTCGACCCTGAGACTAGCTAGGTCATTTATTATTAGCGAGCGTAATGTGGAATATCTGAGACAAACGCCGTACTTATACGTTATGAGGGTTTGTATTGATTTCCATTATGAAAATGTACGAGTTGGAGAATTTTCTCTCTCTCATTCCGTTTTACCGATGTACTCAACTTCAACAGAGATCGCTTTTTAAAATGATAGATTGCTGTTAAAATGAATATTTCACAAAAATTGCCAAAACAATTCTTACAATTGCTTACGCACTAATGATTTCACACGTTGTCTGTCTCACGATGAAAGTTGCCGATTGAGTTCTTTCCCACAAAATACAATGACAACCAATGATCCTCACTACTATTAGGTATCAAAATGGCGCTCAATAAGGATCTTAAGAAGGTTTCAAGGTACCATTAGTATAAGCGTTGCTTTCCGTTCTTAGGCAGGCACTCATTTCTTTCACGTCTAACATAAAATGCTTCTCAACCGCTTTACCAAGAAAACGGTTAAAAAGGAAGGGTTTTATCAGTCGTCTATGCCGATTTCTGCACCCACGCTCGAAAGTCCAGCTTAAGAAACACTCTATGATGGCCAATTTACATTTTCAACTCGGTTGATAAAAGCAAATTATCTTGTACTTAGATTTTTAATTTTAAGTACCACTTGAAAAAGGTTGTTTGTGCCTTAAAAACAAATTGTACCTACCATATATATATATTGGTGATCATTTCCTTTTCTGGCTTTCTTAGAATTTCATACCGACGCAAATGTACCGTATTTACCCGTGTATAATGCGCGCCTGTGTATAATACGCACCCTAATTTTTGACCTCTTTTTTCCGAAAAAAAAGATTTCATGACAAATACCAAGAATTCAAACTTCCATTTTTTCACTTAATTAACAAGAGTTGGGAATTCATCAATAATATGTTTAAAACAATTTCTAACTAGTTGCTACTACAAATATCGAACGCACCGAGCACCTACTTACAAGCTTTTCTATTCAGTAACAGTCAAACGTTTTATAAATGTTGTAACTTGAAGTCCTTACTAATATACCTAAATTCACAACTTGAATTATTATCATAACAGCCGTTCATAAACATTAAATCTACTCACAGTACTGCTGGTAGCTTGAATATAATTACTGCATTGCAATTGCGTGATTTAAGTAAAATGTTCAGTGTCTTTAAACAGACTCACAGTCCGATTCGAATAGGTTTTCGATGACTGAATCCTCAAGTTCATCAGTGATCTCAGTTGAATTGTAAACCAATTCATCTTGTGATCCATTCGAATTGTTTGTGATCCCACACTTCAGAGAGAGGCAGCGATCATTTCTGATGGAATGCCTTCCTACGCTTGTGAAATATACGAACAGATCAGTTCCTCCGAAGCCTTTTTTTGTCGTCCAGTAAGTTCGTGAATTCCATCAGCCATCCACTCCTTTCGGACTCCATCTCTAAATGGTTTGTTCAAAGATACATCGAGCGACTGGAGAAGGGAAGTTCGCGTTTGAAGGAAGTGTTCACAGTATCTGTCATGTGAGCTTCAAATGAGTCGTAAACAAGCAAGCTCTTTCTCCTCCCCAGGCCACCGATCCGTGCACTTTTACTTTCTTTGTTGCGTTTTTAACGTATGCAAATTAGGACGTGCTTGACAAACAATAGAATCCGTGTATAATACGCACCGCGATTTTGATGCTTGTTTTTATGGAAAAAAAAGTGCGCATTATACACGGGTAAATACGGTAGCTGTTAAGTCATTGCGTTGCTAGCTATCTTACAATTTCCCAGTATACCGACACAAACGTAACCGTTTAGTCATTGCGCTATAGTTACTGGCTTTCTTAGAATTGGACAGCGGATGTAAATTCCTGATATTGCTAAAATGCATTGTATTTCTTACACCCCACCGAGAGGGCTCTGATCTGTATTTTGTTTCGTGTTGTTTTTATTCCTTGTTCGATATTTAATTGTTCGAAAGATCTCCCTTAAAAATAACCTCTAATTAGTTATATTAACGACTTCTGGTTTGCAAAGTGAACTTGAAGTACGCACTTTTGTTAACTTTTCTTTTCTTGTTCCTTTCGGTCAGCGGAAATAAATTTCATGAATTGTTAAAGTGCAAGGTATCTCTCACGTCCTACTTTGAGGGCTGTGATCTGTTTGCATGTGCTATTGTATGGAATTTTAAGAGATGCCCTGTTCGATAGCTGTTTGTACCCGTGTTATAGAAGGGATCATTCGCGGCTCAATTTGAAACTCGTTTACGGTCTTGAGATACTTGCGGTCGCGGAACCATTAGCGTAGCTGTACTCGATCTCCTTATCGTTTTGGACTTGGCACCCATTCGAACCGCAAAATTAGCAATACAACACCCCTAGGTAACGTGCACAAAACAAGTCTCCGCTCACGTGAAGCAGATGAATGACGCAAGGTTTCATTTCTTTGTCATGGTTATTTAAACTGCACTGATCAGTCTCGCCCACACAACAAACTCGCCACCACAAAACTTGCCACCACTGAGAGTGAAATCGTCACCGTGTCTGTCAACCGACGCAATGTAGCCGTGTAATCATTTTGTTAAAGCTTATCTTGGAGTTTCCCCATATACCGACGCAAATGTAGCCGTTGAGTCGTTCAGTTACTTGCAGTGCTATCTCGGAATTTTTCCCTCATACCGACACAAATGCAGCCGTTGAGTCGTTCCGTTACTTTCTATCTCAGAATTTCCCCATATACCCACGCAAATGTAGACGTTGAGTAGTTCCGTTACTTGCGATCTCAGAATTTCCCGATATACCCACGCAAATGTAGCCGTTGAGTCGTTCCGTTACTTGCTATCTTAGAATTTCCCCATATATCGATACAAATGTAGCCGTGAAGTGATTGCGTTTCTTTTTTGCGAAAAGCTACAATACCTAAGTATTTATCACAGCCTCACAAGCTTTTCGCCTGGGATTTAAAAAAGGAACAATCGATCGCCAAAATTTCCAAAATGAAATCTTAGGTTATTCATCTTGAACCTTTGCCTTTTGTATTCTTTTATGGTTCGCCTCGCCGTCAATTTCACCGCATCTCTTCCCCTTTGACAGTTTTTAGCAAAAATAATTCAAGCTTATGTGTTCAGAGCAAACCCCGTAGAATCTTCAAATTTTGTCCGTTGTTTATCTGTAGTAACTTTACCTCGTTGTCTGAATAGTTGATCGGGACAAAAGATTAAGGCGAGGTGTTCCCGATCTTGTTTTCGTATCTCATCGTCTCTTAACATTCTTTCGTCCCAGGCCAAATTTGCTTCATTTACGTTACTGCTTGATTTTAAACCTGCGTATCGTTTAATTCTTATCATTTATCAAGCTGCTGTTTGTAAGCACAATTCTTAAAAAACACCTTTCAGTTTTTCTGTGTAGTGGTTCGATTTACAACCAAAATAACACAAGGTGAGTTCAAAAGGCGCTTCTATCATGATTCTTCGATGCACACTCAGATCTGTAAAGTAATGGCTATACTTATCACTTGTTACTCCTCAGATTTGATGGCGGGTGCAATTCTTGCACTGCGACCGTTAAAGTTATTCTGTTCAAACTAGTGTAAGTGGTAGCCATATATATCTTCAGTACATTGGATTAGTAGGCTTATCACGATAACATCAGCATCAATTACAATATTTTCCTATTTAATAGTCTTCTCTGTTATCTTTTACTGTTCTATTTACAGTCTCCAGAAGATTTGATCCAGTAGAGTGATGTAAGCTACTGCCTGAACAGTTTCGTTCCTCTTTCTACACAAAAGTGTCAACAAGTATTCCATAGCAAAGATATATCTTTAAACTTAATAGTTTTACACACTCACTCTCTTGTAACCCTTGTCTATACAATTTCGAATATAGTTAATAGTTACAAAAGAAGGCATTGTTGGCTCAAATAAGGAGTTTTTGCGACTACCAAGGCAACAGTTGTTTGCGAACCCTGCAGTGTAGTATCCTCAATCTGGGTTAAACTCTGTGACTTTGTACGTGTGCTGCCAGGTTACTGAGTTCTTTTTGCCTGCAATCGAATTCTTGTCAGTTTTCAGAACAACTCCCAAGAGGACAAGTAACTCTTTGGAATCTCAAACCACGGTGAGAAGTAGATTTTAACACATACTTCAAAATGGTAGAGATTAAAATTTCGTAAAATGGTGTCTTGAATACCACTCTTATTTGACGGTGGGCAAATATGGCCCAATTCTTGTTCCTATCCGCTTTCCAAGGCGAAAAAAAAAACGTACGAAATCTTATCATATTTAGATAACGAAACTCTGACGATAAAGTAAATATCTTTAGAAAGTCATGTTACATCTCTTACTTATCATTTAAATATTCAGAAACAATCGAGGTTCAAACGTCGCTATCTAACAGGTAAAATCTCAGAAGAGATAAGTCCTATATGACTGTCTTGTCCATTATGGGCTCCACCTGTACTGGGTCTGGTGCCTTCAAACTTGGTCCCTGCCACAGGAGTCCCAGCATCTGAATGGGTTACAGCCTCACTCTCAAGTGACTTGCCTGACCGAGACTCCTGGCGTAACTTGGGCATGTGTATGGGAGGGAGAGGAGAGTAATGTGTCAACTGAGGACCACTCTGAGGACGGCCCTGAGGCTTGCTATCTGGGGCACTATTGGGTGGAGAATAACTCTGCGATGCTGAAAGAATAAACAGAAAGTGTGTCATTACAGTTGATAGGTTAACCAATAGGACTTCCACAATTCTCCAGCAATGAAATTCTACAGTTTCGTCAGTTGCTCCTTTTCAAAGTATTTCCTTGTCATTACTCCAAGAGCCGCACTCAAGGTTATCGGTCAAATCACACTGGTAAGGCAAATATCTGGTTGTGAGCTTTTTC